TTTTTTTTTCTTATAAATATAAAATTCTATTGTAGTCTTGATATTCGTTCAAATAATATAAAAGGTGATGGTTTATGTAGTATTGCTGATGCCGTTAAATTCAATTCAGCTCTTACAGAATTATTTATTTGGGGAAATGTTTTTGAAGAACGAGCTTGCTTAGTTAGTCGAATAATTTCATTTAAATATAATTTATTTTTATTATTTAGGCTATTGAAAATCTTTTAACAATTCATCGTTTTGAACCTGAACATGTGGATGTTACACCATATCGTGTTGATGCACGAACATATCTTGCTGAATCTCCAAATACTCTTGATAAATATGCATATTGGAAACAAGTTGAACCATTCCTTCGTATTCAACCAGCCGTAGATCGAATATCATTGACTGAACGTACTTAATAAAATTTATTTTTATTCATATTTTTTATTTCACATTATCACAAAAAAGAAAAGAAAAATAATAATCATATCCTTTCGATCATTAAACTTTTTCATATGCTGGACTAATGTAATTTTTATAAACAAGACCTAGTCGTGTTTGTTCATGATTATTCAAAGGAAATTTTAATTGATGACCAATATAAAAATTTGGTCCATCTCTATTGATTATATATAAAAGATCACCACAATTAAATTCAAGTTCATAAGACTCATTAGTTGTTGAATAATGATCATAGAGACAAACATAGATATTTTCAGGTAAAATAGAACTTATTGGTCGAGGTGGTGGTCGTTTAGGAACGTCAAGTATCTGTTCAAAACAAGATGGTTTCTAGAATATATTTATATATGAATAATGTAATTAAATATTGACTGTTAAAAAGTGAATATTACCGATGTATCAGTGAGTTCGTCAGGATTTTCATAAATTTCTTCGAGTAACAATACAAAATAAACGAATACTTTTAATGATAAGATTACCAAATTTTCTTACCATTGACATTTTTTTGAGGTAAAACGTTATTTAAAGATGAAATCCATGTATCTGCAATACCTGTTTCAGTTGTAAACTAAAAATATTAAAATTTAGAATAGAGAACATCACAGAATGGTTTTCTTCGTTCTGCCCTGCATTTTGCAGGACATTATCACTCACAAGGAAACATTTTCAACTGATCAATCACTTTTGAATTCGGACTCTGTGCATAAGGTAGAACTCAGTGATATATAAAAAACTTTAAAATAATAAGTCCTCTTAGATCTTCTATTCCAAGTTAAAAGCATTTTACTGAAATTTTAACCGCTGGTTTAATATAAACTAACAAATAGAATGACATTGTCAGTAGAATACTATGAAAATTTCAGCTCTGAAGAATATTTCTTTCCCGAGATATTAAAGTCATAAAAAAGCGAAAAATTCTAACGGCTTTTGTGGAATTTTGAATAATTTTTGGACTTCAATATCTTGGGAAGGAAGCATTCTTTTGAAGTGAAATTTTCAGAGCATTGTATTGTTAAACAGATCTGGTTGAAGGCGAAATCTCGTGTCGAAATACTGTCATTCGATTCGTTAATAAATACCAAGACAGAGACCAAAATTCGAGTAAAATGTCTATAACTCCGAATAGAACGTCTAAGAGGACTTATCCTTTAGAGTTTTTTCCTATCTCACTAGAGTCTATCTTATGTTTCGGGTTCAAATTTAAAAGTGATTGATCAGTTGAAAACGTTCCCTCGTCAGCCATTGTGTTTTGCAGGATGCAGGACCTTTCTCTATCCAATCTGCAGTACGAGTTTTTCATTGCATTTTTGATGAAGATAAAAATTTTTCTGTATATGAGGTACGATGTCAAATATTATAAATATGGTGTTTATACAAAAATCATTTACAATATAACAGTATCCGACGTAAGTTAAATTTTTGTGATTTGACTCATTCACTTTTTGTTTCTCAATCCTAACTTTCTTTCTTTTATTTCATAACTAGAATTTTTTCTTATTTGTCTTTTCTTCTGTATACAATCTGCAATCTTTATGTTACCATTGAACAGACAGTGCACTCGCTATGCATCATTGTCCGATGTCAATAAAGAAAAGTAGGCGACATAGAAGAAAAGATCGAACGATGCATATTGTTCTACTATACTTTTCTACATTCTCTGGTAGAGTTTTTAAATGGAAAAAATATTCAAAATGCCTTTTTTATCAAGCAATATAATCGTGTTAATAAACCTTATCAGATGTCGTCCAGCACAAAAGAAATGAACAATAAAATAATATTTGACATTCCTATTGTGAATAAAACAATCATAAAGATTCAAGATTCAAAATGTAATCCATATAAACAGGTTGAACAACAAGAAAGAATAAATTTTCTTGTTATTGCTGTTTCTTGGATTTCTCGTATGAACAAAAAAATAGTGTCATTAACTTGATGTGATGATCAAAGTATTCGTCTTTGAGTAAATAACAATCCAGCTGAGCTAAATAATCTTTCTATCAAACCACTAGTCACTGGATGTGACATATTCTCTTCTGGCTACTACTGATAGTAATAGAAAATCATGACGAGTTCCACAACTAGACTAGAACTTCATTGGATTACGATCAATTAGATGACTTGAGTGTTCTACGTCCTAAAGAAAGGTTGTCCTGTTCCTACTAGACATGCATTCTGTGACGTTCTCTGATTTCGAAATAGTTTAATCTTACTTTTTCAGTTCCTGAGTCATGTTTAAATTGAAAATCTCTTTTGTTTTCATAAATAAATGAACAGTCTAAATTAATGAGATATATTTTTAAAAATAAATAAATGATTCATATAACTCACTAAGATCTATTATAAATTTATGTAGTGTTTTTCGACTTTTTCGATTTTCATATAAAACAAGATAAACAATTTTTTCATTATTACAATATGTATATGATAATTCACAATAAACAATTGTTTTTGATCCATTTTCTAAAAATACAACAAAAAAAAACAAGATAAATTATAAATCGATTATTATAATTGAATAAATTTACTTTTTAATAAAGGTGATAAAATTGTTGAACCTTAAATAATAAACATGAAATGTTGCTTTTTAATTAATTAACAAATCTATACCTTTTCTTACAGTTAAATTTCCTTCCTTAACTAATGTATTATTTGATGATGGATTTGTTACTTTTTTAACAATTGAATCTTCATTTATTATTGATTGACAATTAACATAATGCAGAGGTTTAATAACATTTTGAACAATTGGTGGTTTAATATGAACTTCTGTTTGTTCTACTACATAACTGTCATCATCATCATGATTTAAAAATTGATGATCTATTTGTGGTATTGATGGTTCCTGATAAATATGTTCTAATTCAGGATTTTGATGACATAATTTTTCAAGCATTTGAATAAGAATATTTTTTTCTATTGTTGATTCTGGCCAATCATAAATAGCTAAATTTGATCAATAAATTATTTAAAAAAGAAACAATTTTTAAATAATCCAATTACTTTTAAGAAAGTTTTGAAAATTTTCATTTAATGTATTAGTTGACATATTATTGTTTTATATAAATATGTTACAAGAGAAATATACCTGTAGATATGATAGTCAGAAATTTTACAAATATCAAAACTTTTTTCTTTTTTTTTCTTTGTCATTTTGCTTATCAGTTATGAGTCGTGAATTTTTGTGTGACAGAAATATTTCGTATAGTCAGTTGAAACAGATTAATAGATTTTTACTGAAACAATTTTCATTTTATTAAAGGTGAACATTTCATAGTTTATCGTATTTCAAGGGTACGTCATAACCAGACAGACTTAAATCAAATGAATTCAAATTAATATGCTCGTGAGATATGTTGATAGTAGATTTGAACTAGCTAAGAAGTTCTAGAGAATAGTTTTGACATATCCTTGGCTTATGGTGAAGTACAGAATTTTCGCTTTTTCTTCCTTGAGTTTATCGTATGAGTAATATCTAAGAGATAAGGATATCAATAAAAAGAATATAGCCTTGTGTCATAAAAAAATAATCAATCTCTTTATAAAATAGCTAAGATTATTGATGAGCTTTCTGTTAATACACAATATTTTGATTCAAGTGTTATACGTAATCATGTTTTCCAAGTATGTAGGTTCATCATTATATATCACCATCAATTATTGTAAACGACCGTTTTATACCATCTAGTGTTGTTATCATACGCCCAGTATTACTGGCCGTATACGATACTGTATTTTCACTGTACACGGTCATATTCTTCGACTAGGGTAGTATCAATTGTCTTTCTATATGATATCTATCAATAAAATAATATTTTGTATGGCCTATGCCATACTATCTATAGAGTATTGAAATATTGTTACTTATAAAATGCTAATTGACCTACAAGATTGATGATGTTGAACAATTTGAATGCATCCTTGTTATTATTATATTGAATAATCAGATGAAGCTTTATTTGATTGACAAAAAGGTTTTAAAAATATATATAAATATGAGCTATTTTAGGCAAAATGAGACATATTCACCTTTCATTAGACTTAGATTCTTTGTAAGGCTTATATTTCTGAATAAGTTCTTTCAGCTTAGACATATGTAAAAATGTTAGTTGCTTCAGCTGACTATTAATTAAAAAATAATTAACAAATATCTCTTTAACTATAAGAGAAAAAAATTCGAAAACTTCAGTATAGACTTTACGACATGGATGCAATTTTCAGTAAAATCAGACTTCAAAATATTTCCTCTTAAAAACCGATTTTCTAGAGATCCTATCAAGTCCTGAAATAACAATGTTTGTTTTACTATTATCTAGAGAAAGATTTGTACCGTTTGGAATTAGTTTTCAACTTCTCATTCAATTATAAGATGATTGTTTCGTATTCCATCACATTCCTAATGAATGATTTTGCCGATAACGGTTGAAGCATATGAACTTAGAGACTTAAACCTACTGTGAAATCTATTGCACGAAATATAATTCTTCTCTTAATAAAATCCCATGAAAATTAAAATTATTTAATTGAACATCATTTATTCATACAAATACTTTACTTATTTGATAAATATTTTCTCTATTCAATTTATTTAACAAAAACAATAAAATAATAAATTATATTTTACACAAAAGTTTTCCTATTCTAAAAAATTCTAGAATCTTGATTTCTTGAAAATTATATTTTTATATTTCAAAAAACAAAAAAATATATATATATTATTATTCTTGTTCATTTTTTATGATTAAAAGAATTTATTATTGAACTTGTTCAATATTTTCAATGAATTTAATTAGGAAAATTTTAATTTATTATTTGTAAGTATAAGCAGCAAGAAAAAGAAAGAAAATTGGTTGGGGACCATATATAATGATTCATCGTTTCCACATGTGACATTATATCCTCATTGGTCGAAAAGTATTTCTTTGGTATTTATTTTACCCATTTCTCTTTTGATTCAATCGAAAAAGAAAACAAAACATAGAATGAATATCTAGATAAGATGTAGAAATCATTTCATTTGATATATGTTATAGATGACGATTCCAAATGATGATTCGACAATAAAAAAACGATGGATTCATCTTCGTCGTGTTCTCGAACGATCTGGCCCCTTTAAGGATCCAAATTTTGAACCATCTACTGAGGTTTATTATAATCTAAATAATGGCATTATAATTTGTAATTATTTATTAATTTTAGCTTTTAACAGCAGTTGCATCTGTTAGAATATTAATTATTGGTGCTGGTGGTCTTGGTTGTGAATTATTAAAAGATTTGGTATAGGACAGAAATAACAAAAAAAAAGATTTTTATTTGTATGGAAATAAATTTTTTTTGTTTTGTATTTTCTATTAGGCTTTAATGGGTTTTTGTCAAATTGATATAATTGATATGGATACAATTGATTTAGCTAATTTAAATCGTCAATTTTTATTCACGTAAGTTAAAAAAACTATTTTATTAAAAATTTTTTTTATGAATGTTTTTTTTTCTTTAGTAAAGCTGATATTGGTAAATCAAAAGCTGAAGTTGCTGCACAATTTATTATGAATCGTATACCAAATTGTAATGTTACACCGTATGTGACTAGTTTTTAATAAACAATCATCATATGAAATTTTTTTTTTCTTTTTTGTAGACATATGAAAAAAATACAAGATTTCAATGCATCATTTTATTCTCGTAAATTTTTATTTCTTTCAAATAAATATGTTTACTTTGAAAAAAATTTTTTTTTTCAGAATTTCGAATTATTATATGTGGTCTAGATTCTGTTGTTGCCCGTCGATGGATCAATAGTATGCTTGTAAGATAACAACAAAAAGAAAACCAGTCAAAATTTAAAAATCAACTTTTGTTTTTATTTTAGGTTAGTATGCTTCAATATGATGAAAATAATCAAGTTATACCAAGTTCAATAATACCTCTTATTGATGGTGGAACTGAAGGTTTTAAAGGCAACGCACGAGTTATTATGCATGGATATACTAGTTGTATTGAATGTACTTTGGATTTATTTCCTCCACAAGTAATTTATTTTGAAATATAATATGTAATGCGAAAGTTTTGACACAAAATATTCGACTACTAAAAGACAACCGATTATAGTTAGATGCAATTAGTTAGAATTCGAGGTTTTCGAATATGTGTTTAGAATTTTCACTTGAGTTATTTTGCTTATAGATACTACATAGTGTTCTAATAAAAAACCCTAAAAGAATTTGGGTACCTATTGAGATTTGATTAAGCTATCAAATTTTTTTCTAAGAGGCGTCAGGTTTTTGGAAAACTCGTAATTTCGAATTTTGATCTGAAACTTTGCGTATATAGAGAGCTCCACTAGACTAGCTTCCATAAAAAAGTTCACAACTTTAAAGCAAAGTCTGTTCGACATATGAAGCTTTGTTCAAAACTTGTGAATTTTTTTATGGAAACTAGTCTAGTTGAGTTCTCTAT